CAAATATATAAAAATCAGATTTTCATAAAATGAAAGGAACCAATAGAATGACATATAAAACTTAATAAATATTCAATCTTATTAATAAATTGTAGAATAATATAAATATATATTTCATAACAATGCAATACAAACTCTCATTCAACAAAAAGAGTTTTAATGTACTAAATAACATCTATGCCAAATAACTTAAGGAAGAATAAATATAATTTATAAACAAAAAAATCTAGGAACAATTTCATGTTAAAATAAAATAATGAAAAAAAAAAAAAAAGCTTTGGTACCACTAGATCACAATAAAAAAAGCAATATTTAAATTAAAATTCTAAGAAAAAATAAATTATAATAAACATCCATGTTATGGTTACAATAAATAAAATTTATAATAAATAATTAAATATTTACGTTTCGTCATCATAAAAAATGTAGTTTTATTATTTATCATAACTTGGGATAACTACTTTTTAATTACACTATCTTAACCAAACTTCACAATCAATACAATAGCATTTCTAATCAGCCTAATATTTGAAATATCTTATACCTAAAATAGGCTCATACAAACTTTAAAAACTTAAATACAAAACTTTAAAACTTGAAAATTAATACATTTTAAAAATTTTGTTTAAAATTATTCTAAACAAACAATCTAAAAACTTAAAAAATTATTTAATAAAACTGTTTATAAACTTAACACATAAAAACCATATTTTTTTTGTTACTACTTTATAAAATTAAAAATGAACTGTGATGCTAATATGAAGGATTTCATAATTGATAACTATATCATTGGTTTATTGCAAAAAGTCTCAAAGCACATTTTTGATGGAATCAAACATTTGAGTATGTTTTAATGAATTTTGAGCTGACTTAGTGCCATGAGTAGTAAGTGCATAAAAATAACAAAAACCCCCCATCTATGTATCAAGTATAGTTACACTGAGTGCACTATAACCTGATTTCACAGATAAATTCATCAAAGTACTTAGTGTTTTAGTGTTATGAAATTCCTTCATGTTTTTTTTGCAATAAACTGATAACAGTCAAATTAACACTTCATAAATAACATGAAAAATTTTAAAAAGTGAAAATATTTCAAGTTTATACAGTTAAAATCAGAAGAAGCACCAAGATATTGCAGTAATGCTTTACTATAATAGTCTTGCAAGGAGATGGAAAAGAATAATAATAATAAATTGCAAGAGAAATTGAAATACTATAATCATATATATCATAATAGTTAAAACATAATGTAAAAGTGAAAGTATTTCAAAAGTTATTGATTACCTTCATCAAACATAAGTAGTCATGAGAAGAGGTGTAATGTATTTTTACATGTTATGTTATAATTCACGAAGAATAATGGCAATAGACAATTATATGCAAAAGATAATTTAAAGATAAATAAGGAAAATTATTTTAGACTGATGTGTTAAAATAGCAAACAATCTTGAAACTTTTGTTTCATGAATGACTAAAAAATTTGGGCGAATAGAAAAAAATTATGAAATGGAAAAGCGAATCAATTATAACTGTTTATCAATCTAGATTACTACAAATAGAATCCATTAAGTATTAGATTTTTTTTTCCCGAGATTTATAATTATATTCTACAAGACCGATATATATTAGGTTAATGTAACACACATTCTTTATATATATATCTTCTCAAATACAATATAGGGAAATATTTTAAAAATAATTATTAAAGTTATACATTAGATTGAAGATAAAGAAAATTATTGGAGACTGTTTTCCAAATAATTAAAAATAAAAACAGTAGCCATGGCCAATATTCAATAATTAACTTTTTAAAATGTGCTCTGAAAATAAGTTGTGCAGTATGTATAATTGAATCAGATACTTATAAAAATATTCAGTTTACCAAGATCAATCTTGAAAACAATAGCATATAAAAATTAATTTATATTATTCCTGAAATATTTCAGTTGCTAAGAGATATTTTTCATCCATCAATAAATTGTAAAAATATATCTAATATTTCCTAATATAAATAAACTATAGTTCCGAAAACCACTGATTAATCCGAACATTACGTGCTTTTTCATATAAATAGAATTCTAGCAACTAGGTTATTCAACTCCTTGTTCAGTCTTATTTGATTAATTTTTATGAAACAACCTGAAGTGGTCCTATTATTGTAATTTTTTCATGGCCATATTCATAGGCTGACAATGCTTTAAAAAATAATAAAATAGTATGTTATGTTGTTCTTATAAATCAAATTTTCTTATTGTTTAGTAAATACTGTCTTTTTAAGTTTTTGTAAATAAAAATAATTTAAAAATTCTTAAATAAATAAATAATAAGTATTTTTTCAGCAAAATTAATGTAAAGAATACTAACGCTTCTAGAGTAAAAGGTAAATAAAACAGTTTGAGTGGTTTTCTTGAAGCATTAAATCAATTGAGATGCTTGATAGAGGGTGATTAATTTCTTTGAGACATATTTAATAGAAACAATTAGGTTTAAACTTAAATCATAACACTGTTCGGTACAGGCAAACAGTCTATCACTTGCCAGTAAAAGTTGACACCTTTCTGGTGGCAATCAGCGATGCTTTAAATTTTGGAAAGCTCTTAACACAGTATGCACTCTGTGATATATAATTATGCCTGAACAAGAATTGGAAATATTTAGAAACTGCTTAGAGATATGAAAAGGAGCAAAAAAACAAAATAAATAAATAAATGATAATGAAATTGGGATGAATATTTTCAAAAAAGTCAATATTTAAATATAGTAAAATTATATTAACTTTTATAAAATAATAAAAGTTTTTTAATATTTTTAATTTGCAAGTGGGTAGTCTGTTACTTTAATTAGTCATAAAATGATTTCTAATGGAATATTTTATTTTATGATATTAAGCCTGATTACTTCAAACATATATATCTTCTAAGTATGTAAAGTATTGGGAAACGTATCTGCTTATAAAAAACAATTAGAATCCTTGCTATCACCCTAAGATTAAAACAAATATTATATACATATCATTAGGAAGACAATGATATACAAGCCATATTACTTATCTATTAGCAAAAAAAATGTGATTGTCCCTAAACTGTTTTCAGAAACCATACACATGACATGACAAGAGAATAATAGTCCTGAGCTGAGAACAAAATATGGTTAACTAACAAAATTACCTCAACAATTGTGAAGAATCTATAATTGAATTACCGATTTATGGTGACTAAGTAATGCAAAGCGATGGCAAGAAACAAGAAAAATTCGTGAAGATGATGAAATTCATCAACAGTGACGATTAATTTAAATCCATCCTGCATCAATAACTTAGAACTAATAAAGCCAGAGTGACCCATCATAGGAATCACCAAGGTCAAAAAGTAAAAGAAATAAACAAGAAGTAAATACAGAATAAGGATAAAATGGAATCACTAAATAAGACATTGTAGGAGATAAGAGCGAGTTCATTGTAACCTTACATTTAAAAAAGGACAATTAATCACATAAATACACTTAAATAAAATTATCTATAAATTTATACTTATGTCTGTTAGATGGTAACATGAAAATTAAACTTGATATTGGGAATAATCTAACTCATGATATACGTTGGAACAAAGAGCCAACAAATAAAAAATTTATATACATTACACGATATGGTATACAATAATTGTTAAAGGGGCAAATGCTCTATCATTATTAGTCTCAATAGCTATTAATTAGAGGATAATTGACTCTTTGAAAATTAATGTACACCTTACCATGATTTATTTATTTGTTTTTTGTGAAGTTCATTCAAATTTCAAAGTTTGGAGATTGATCATTTTCTTCCAAGGTATAGATATATTGAAAGAATCCTAAAATATTTCTATTTAAAAAAGTATTGTCTAGTATCATATAAAGGAATTTGGTGGCTTATAAGAGATTATCACCTATTTTGTTTGTACGAGAAAGGTTTGAGGTAAAAAGCTATAAACTATACAATATCTTTTGTTCCAATGATAAAAGGAGTACTGAAATCCTCAGTATAACATACACAACCATTGAGTATTCAGTCGAACCTTAAAGCTCAAAATTGTAGATAATAATTATATCATTCAAGAACTATGGCACTGAGTATTAATTCCCTATAATAAGATGAGATTCGTTTTAATGAAATATATAAAATGCTAAATGCAATTCACAACAAAGATATGCATATTCTTATGCGAACATTTTTGAAAATAAATTGTTAAATATGTGACAAAATTTCACATATTACATACAGTCTCATGAATTGTTTTTATTTTATAGATAGAAAACATACCATAATTATAATGGTAATAATGAGTTTCCTGGGTTTATACAATATGACTGTATACCTGTATAAATTCAACTCAAAATCTATAAGAGAAAAATTGATGATACCATAAAAAGCTTATTCAGAATAACCAAACTAGTCTGAAATGAAGATTGTTCGCTTCATTCTATAAATGAAATTTTAAAAGGCAATACAATAATTAAGAAATAAATTTAGTAACATACCTATTTTTAAATAAGGAAAGAAATACTTTAAAAGATAATGATTAAAGACACTATTTGAAATATAGTGAATAAACAATTATAAAACCCAATGATGACTTAATATTCCTTTCTATTAGGATACAGATTCCGTAACAGTGTTACCAACAACACACTGTCTCATAATGTTTGGTCCCTGTAGGTAATACATTGAAAAGGAATATTCAATTTTTGAGAAATAGCAACAGCCATATTGTAAATAATTATTTTGATTTTCACATTTTAATGATTTAGCTCAACAAGTTGATAATTATAAGCATTGAAATGGTTTATGAAATCAACTGAAAACTATAACTGCTCAATGTGATATAACAATAGTTTAAAAAATAAAAAAATGTTTATATTCATTATAGCTAACAATGTAAATAGGTCCAAACCTTTATATACAAAAGTTAAGAAATAAATGTAATGGAAGGAACACTTGTCCACTTCCTAGCATTCTTCTGTTGTTACATAAATGTTGGTTTGATTTTATATGCTCTCTTCCAAATTTCACAGAGACAAACTGTGGAGTGAAACCTGTAAAAGATTGCCAATGGCATTGAAACATGAGTGATTATGGTCCAAGCCCAAAGACCATAAAAGTGAAGCTGAATTGGATGAGATTCTGCACGAGATTTTTCAAGTGTGTTAATAGCCCACATGGCGAGATTTGTTACCAAAAGGAATGTAACTATTTCACGACCTGGCTTTCGCCGAATCTGCTCAGGAGTGACACAGGATCTAAAAATACACTTAATAAGTTACAAGAGAGTATTTTTTTTTGACAGAATTTTATAAAGATTGCAATCAAAAAGTGAAAAAAATTAAAAAATAGAAAAAAAAAACAATAAACTAAACAAGATAATATAATTTATTAATGTGAGGATCCAACACCACATGTCAAATTAAAAAACTAGCTTTTAAGCTTCTTCCCTCTGTTATAAACTCATAAGTCTGACTTTTTAATCAAAGCAATATAAAGTTACAACTATTAACATAAATCATATTTGAAAAAAATTATTAGATAGTGAGATGGTTGGTCAATTTGATCAAACCTCATCTACTTAAAGTGTCCTCCATTCCTTCTTCTAAACGACTTATACAGCTGACATTCCAATTCATGACAGATGTATACTATCAGTTGAATAATGGCCCATTAACCATCCCAAACACTTTATCACAGATATTGAAGAATTTTGTATAAACTGAAGAATCAAAATAAATTCCTTAAAATCTTATCATTTACCCTTTGTTATAAACCTTTGATTTTCTGTTATGTATTATCCTTTAATAAAATACTACATTCATCACTGTTTAACAGATCTGCTACCTAGGATTCCATCTGGGCAAATCTGAAAGTACGTTGCTCACAGGGCCTGATCCAGGTACCTATCGCCAGGTGGGTTCACCAGAAATAGAGGGTAAGAAGGAAATAAAATAACAATCCAAAGGAAGAGACCCCGGAATAATAAACTAAACCTGGGGAGTCACGTAAAACTGATTAATCTTATAGTGTGGGGGGTCGGATCTCCAGTACCCGTGTCCGGGAATGTGGGTTCTCAGGTATCGTAATCCAGCAAACGCAGTGCTACATTAGTGGATCACTTGGCCTGGCCATTGTATTAACTATTAGTTATTTTATTATTACTTCAATATTAGTTATTAATTATTAATACCAACATTAGTTATTATTTTATAACTCAAGTGAAGAAAGGGGAATTAATTGAAGACAAAATTGCTAATGCCATTAATTGATCGGTTATTACATGGAAACACTTGTGGAACTCAGACTAAGTGGGGTTGCGACCTCCCTCTTCCCCACTCCCCAGAGTTTCAAGTAATAACATCAGGCACTTGAGAGGAGACCAACGAGGAAAGAAAGACACCTAAGGGTCAGGAAGAAACAAAGGTCTCAGCCACAGCCGAAAGTAATCCAAGAAATGATTCCGGTGATTAATGGTAAATGGTAAAGACCAAGAAGAAAAAGAAAAAGAAGGCTAAAAAGCAATACGAATAAGACCTGCTCATCCTGATGCTTTGATGGTCACGGCAAAGGAGGGCTCAACATACACGGATATCCTCTGGACAATAAAAAGCTATCTTGATCTCCAAGACATAGGAGATAAGGTGCAAAAAAACACAAAAGTGTACCACAGGTTATCTCCTTCTGGTGTTTGATAGAAAAGCACAAGAAAAAACTGAACATATTCATACTGCAAAAGCAGAAAAAATGGCTGATAAAGCGGAGGCAATGTGCAAGACATTCTTTCCAACTATTCTTTACAGATGCGTTTTCCATGACAGTTCAATGTACCAGAATGCCTCCTCACATAGATTTTATCAGCAAACGACTAATTAATCATCCTTATATATATGTACCCATTAAAAATGGTGAGGAAGGTATACTAAACCCTACTTGGCAGAGAATCTTTTTTAAGTAACAAGCTACTCATTTACTCCACAGTATTAAGTTAGCTAATTTTCCAATGAAATAAGCATAAGTTAAAACCTTTGAAAAACTTCTAACAATATTTAATCAATAAATGTGAATTCCAGAACATTAACTTTAATAAAAAAATCTATATCATTGGGAAGTACTTTTTAGTATACAAATTTATAAGAACTTAAATTAAAAACAAACAAAAGAAAATGTCTTTACCTTCGAGAAGCATCAAGAACAAACATAGTCTGACACAGGGTTTGTACAAGGGAAGCAAGTGCTGTAGCTAAAACTAGAACAGTATTTTTCTCCAAGGTGAAGTGCCCTCCAATAATAGTAAAGGTACTGTAGATAAACATTCCTGTCTGTGCACCAATCAGCAAAATATTATCCAGTTCCAAGTTACGTGCTCCATCATACTTCAGTTGCCTAACCTAAATATAAATAAGTTTAACATTAAACAAATTAATATACTAATATATAAGGAGGGAGATAATTTTCAAAATATTTTATTCAAAGTGTTCTAAAAATGGTATTCCATTAAATGAGCAATTGGATGTAAAACTCGTGCAAGCTAATATTTATTATGAAGATGACTTACACCACTTTTGCACATAATGGCCCAAGTATCAAATTAAAATAAACATTATCCAAAAATCAATGGCGACAGCTAGACCAGTGGTTCTCTTGGTGAGTGTCTCAAGGTTGGCAAAAGTATTTTACAATGTTTTCTTCATAATAATAAAGAATAAAGAAAACCTTGGACCAGATATGAATGGATTGAATGATCAGAAGAAAATTGGCTCAAGAAAGAAACTTGTAGATAAGTTTTATAGAGGGATGCCTCGCACTGCTTATAAGTATAAGGGGATGGATTAAGTAAAGTAAGAATATTATAATTTCTATGGTTTGTCATTTCATAGATCAAACAAAAATTAATACTAATAGGAAGCTATAAATTTTGTTTAATGATTTCAGGGTGTTGTGAGACAAAAAAGTTGGAGAAACACTGAGCTAGACCATAAATAAAAAGTTTTGATTGTTCAAAATAAGTAAAGAAAGAAAGAAATATTTTTTCCAAACATTTTTAATTTGATATTATTTCCATTTTGAATATAGTTTCATAAAGTAACAAAAAATTATAAATCTTATAAACGATTACAATTGATAAATTTAGAAAAATATAAGTATAACAAACCTGTATCATGCCAATAAGTGTAGCAAAGGTTGCCATTACATAAAGTGACAGTTCACAGACAGTTAACTCCATTACAGCAAAGCTAACAAGTTCAGGACGGGATATAAGAACAAAAAAAAGGATCAGTGATATAATAGTGAGAACAAGGACAAGAATACCAACAAAAAGACCTTTATGTGCCTGTGCACAATCAACAGAATAATGATGAGGGGAACGTTTGTAATGAAAAGGAGGAACTTTATGATCATTGTGATCAGGAGAAGCAGGTGCTGGAGATGAAAGCCTAGAGATATTCTTCCACATTACATAAAGGATAGCGGCACATATCAATGAGTATTCAATGGTGCAAGGAAAAAGGAAAGGACTGGCATCTTGGACGAGTGAACCCATGATGTTCGTACGACGGCATTCGTAAATGTGATGTGGACCAACTAATCCTCTTGTCACTCTTCTATGTGGCATAGTCAATTTACTGAAACCTGAAAACACAAATCATTTTAAAATAAAAATAAGTAACAGAATAAAATAAAAATATCTCAAGAGTAGATTATTTTTTTCTATCATTAGGGCAATAAAATAAAACATTGTATCCAATCAATATATTTGTGCCACAAAGATAAATTGTAACACATACAATGTTTCAGTTATTTTATCCTTAATGGCAATTATTTTAGGATAAATATAGTGAACATTAGGGAATAGACGAAATCTGTGTTTTTAATTTTTTGAAGAACTATTGTTTTACTCATCTATTAATCTTGAGTAGTCTACACTTCAAAATATAGGGTGTAACAATGTTGTCATATTTATGAAATGTTGAAATAGGTTGATTGTAATAATTTTTAATCTGACATTACGGATGTTTCTGTATTGCATTAATTTATACTTCTTTTAAAACCGTATGTATTACATAACACCCAACTAAGGAGGGAAGTACAAACAATTTCCAAAATGGGACCAAAAAAAAACAAACACATTTGTGGAAATCATATTGTCTAAGTGAAAATGGTCTCAAAGAGCAAAGAGATATTTTCATCCACAGCAACGACTACTTATCAAGCTAATAAAAGCATCAATGAAGCGAGTTGCCTGAAAGGTACCTCCTTAATTGACCATTTCGTTTTGATGGACGGTCGTAGATGGATCAGTTCATACCTGTAGTTGGACTATACAAAATAAACAAAAATGTTGAAGAAATCAGTTCATTTGCTGGTCTAATACATCTTTTATATGATCTAGCCGTTGATTTGGTACCAAGGTAACTCAAGTTCTATAACTCTCTTGGTCTAACACAATTATTTATTTAAGGAAACATTTCAATTAATCTAGCCTCGTTATTTAACATTTTGTCGTCAGATTATTTCAAAACCCCTTACTGACCCAAATAACACATCAGATTACATTTTTCAACTTCAATAAAATAGTTCTTTACTTCTATACAGTATCAGTGATGATATTCAAATGGATATTCTTTACACTTTACTGCATCCTTGTATAATTCAGCAAGTTCCGAGGGTGTCAATTGACATTTCCTAAAGCCTTATAAATCGATCAAAAATTCCAGAACTACATGAATCCAAGAATAATATCATAACTTAAATATTTATGTAAACATCTTCATAGAAGGAGGACATAGAAGACCTTTTATCAAGACTCAATATAGGTGAAGGAAGATAACATACCCTCCACAGTACATCCACACAAGATGACATAATAAAAAAAGACTATAAACTTAAAGTGAAACAAGCATATCTTGCAGAGAATTGGTTAAATATCTTGGTCACTTAATCATTCCAGTGGGTATTAAAGCTGATTACCTTAAAATAATTGCTGTTTCTGAACTTACTCCTTTGACATGAATCAAACAGCTTTAATTACTAGCCCATGGTTTTGAAATTTATAAGAAACTTCGTAGCAATAGCCAAACCTCTCACAAGATTAACAAAGAAAACAGTTATTTGCTAATAGAAAATAGCAAACAGATTGAATATGCTAGTTGCTTGCTCACTGCTGCTGAAAAGAATTATAACGTTCCTGAGCACGAAATTTCTAACAGTTGTCTGCCATATTCATATTATTCATTGATTCAATCATATTATTTACATGCTTTCTAACCAGAATAATGAATGATAAATAAACAAATGAATTTTTAATAAAGTTACATAACACTGAAACGTAATAATATTGAGAGAGTAGGCACTAAAAATTATTTTAACATTTGGAAGCTCCACAGACCCATCTCTACTTGGGACAGACAGCTATTCTTCCATATTCATTTTATGCAATCTTCATTTTCTTTCTCACTTCTCAGTTTAAACTTAACATTTGCAAAGAACATGTGTATAATTTCTGATTACGTTTAAAAAAAAAATTATTTAATTTTCTTTTGGCATCATGGACAACAAACTAAATAACTCTACTATCATTCTAATCTCATCGGTTATAGGTATAATTCAATTACAAACAAACAAACAAAATTACAATTTCAATAAATAAAGATTAAATTGATTTCTGTAAATTTACAGGAAAAAATATAAAGTATAATCCAAGAAATAAGTTATTGTTGTTTACTGAAAAAGTACAAAATGTTCACTATAAAATATAAATAATATTGGCAGTAAAAAAAATAAACAAACTTACCGGCATGAGAACTGGATTTAGCATGAACCTCAATAGTATTATTTTCTGGATTATAAAAAGTAAGAATTTCATGTTTCGTTTCTTGAACCAATACATTCAACCAAACACTAAGATTAGTACCGATCATGTGCATAAGTCCAAATCTTGCCAACACTCTGTGCCTGGTTACTCTCATTTGTTGCTGAAAATAGGCACAGTTATCAAATAATCAATTTTTTTTTTTAGACGCATCAATAATTATAAAACTTTCTGTTTCAAAAGATATTATACCTCATCATTAAGAAAGATAAAATACATCTGAATGAATGTAAAAGCCATTCTTGTGGCTGGTGTCAAAGCTAGTAAGACGTTATGGCACTTCGTATCTCTTTCAAGCTCAAAATATTGGCCAAATTCAAGTCCTGAGTATATCATGCTACCAATTCCAAAAGCTGAATAAAAAATAAAAATAGTATTATTATTTTTAAAAACATTATGATTTTTTTCTTTTGTGTTAATACTAGGATGAACAGCATTTTTTTTTCAACTTTTTTTAAAAATTTTATTTATTTATTTTTGACATATTCTGCAATTTGCACCTGCACTACAGCACACCTAGAAAATTTGATATATTACTGATTAGTTGTGAGTTTTCTTGATTAGCTTCATTTTGTATATATTATAGTAGGTCCCTCAACCATTTTCTTTATAATTTGCATCGATCAGGTAACAGGGAGCAGGAAATAGAAAGAACTAATGGATTGAAGCGATTTAGAATTGAAGAGTGTAATGAAGTGTATTAGCGGTGGATGTAGGATTTTACTGTTGGGATGTTCAAGTGTTATGTATAGTGTTGTTTGAAATGTACCAAGGTGTGTTGACAATTTTCATAGAATTTTTTATTGGTGTTTGTATTTTTTTGTTTGTTTGTTTTACCGAACGCCAAAGTTTTGCTCCATATGTTCAAATTGGTCTCAGTATGGTGTTGTAGATTAGTACCTTATTTCGTAAGTTAAGTGAGGATCTGTAGTCTAGAAGATGTGAGAGTTGGTAATATCGCCTAATCAGTTCTTGTCTTTTTAATTTACTATGTATGTTCCAGGTAAGCCTTTTGTCTTAGTAGAGTCTGAGGTACCGTATATACTTTTTTGAAGGCACTGGGATATTGTCAATCCTTACAGGTGGACATGAGGCTTTCCTAAGAGAGTAAGTCATGTGGATAGATTTGTTACTATTGATTTTAATTTTCCATTTCGCAAACCAATTTTGAAGATTATAGAGATGGTTTCATAGGGCAATAGATGGTGGTGCTAGGATGCTCAGGGATATCAGAGGTGTATAGCGAATAAAGAATTGGACTTAATACGCTACCTTGTGGTACCGCAATGTGTTGAGGGAAGAAAGAGGATTCAGAAGAATCTATGGAAACACAGAAAAACCTATTAAGAAAGGATTAAAGAATTAGAAAATAAGTGGAAGGTAAGTGCGGTTTTAATTTCCATAATAGGCCATTGTGCCAGACACTATCAAATGCTTTCTCCATGTCAAGGAAGACCGCACAGCAGTATTCCTTTTTCTCAAAAGCAATAGAGATAGTGTCTAATATCCGATGGCACTGTTGCACAGTGGAGTGAAAACAACGAAAGCCAAACTAGTGATTTGATATCACTTCACTACTTTCTAGGATAGGCTTTAGATGGTTCAGGAGAAGTTTTTCAAATATTTTTCCTGTAATAAGAAGAAGTGCAATAGGACGATAGGAGATATGAAGGAGGGGTGGTAGGTTTTGAGGGTTTAGGAATCATTTTAATTGTGGAAACTTTCCAAAGGAGAGAAAATAGGTCATGCCTAAGATAGAATTGTAGGTGTGCTTAAAAAAGAGAACAGCTTTTCTAGGTAGGTGTTGAAGAATAAAGGGAGTAATCAGATCATAGCCAGGAGCTTTTTTATTTGGAAGTCTGTTTATTTCTTAGTATATTTCTTTTGGATGAAATGTCGGTAAGGTAGTGAGAAGGGTAATGGTGTAATCAATTCTTCTTCTTCAGTGTTAGTGTGTGTACTGTCTCATATACCTGTGAAAAACATTTAGCAAATTCATTGGCTTTTTCTTTGCTTGTTATTGCCCATGTGTTGTCTGTATGACGGAGAAGGTCTTCGATATACGTCTTATTGTTATCCATACTGATCTGTTATTATTGTTTATTGAGTCTATATCAAGTGTCTATCTATAGCAAGGAGGTGGAGATCATTGAGGAAATGACGTCTTATAGGATGGACACCGTAGGATTAAGTGAAGTAAAAAGGAAAGGAGTTGGAGAAATAGAAATGAACAAAGGTCACAGTTTGATATACTCTGGAGTCCTACCAGGAAACCAAGCTGTAGAAGGAGTAGGATTTATATTGAAAGATGAATTATACAGGAAAGTTGTAGAATGGGAAACAGTAAGTCCATGCACAATTGCAGCTCATATAAATCTAAGGATTGGGAATTGGGCTTTAATACAAGTTCTGACAAATGATGCTAACATCCTAGATAAACAGTTATTTTATAGTGACCTTGAACGAACAATCACCAAAGCTAGGAACTGCTATAGAAGCTATATTGATCATGGGAGACTTCAATGCTAGAACAGGCAAGGATCACCTAAGAGCATATGGAGTGATTGGACCGCACGGAAGAGAACACATTAAAAATGAAAGTGGGCAACAATTTATTGATTTCTGCATTGAAAATGATCTACTACTGGGGAATTTATTCTTCCCGCATAAGCTGGTCCATAAAATTACCTTTTCAGCCACTCAGAGAATTGTCTACAGTGTCATAGACTATTTCATCTATAGCTGTGACATAAGAAGATATTTTTCAGATGTAAAAATAATCGGAGGTACAGAAATAGGAAGTGACCATATGCTCCTGGTTGGTGATACCCGAGTGTTCAAGGAAAGAAAGCAGAAGATGAAAGCCTATTCAAGAATTGAAGTAGAGAAGTTGCAGGACCCTCTAAAGAGAGATGAGTATGAAGCAGAGTTAAGAAATTTTGTCCATGAATTAGACGCAAATGCAAGCCTTGAGAATCTATGGATTCAAATAAAGGATAGCATTCTGAAAGCAGCTATTGTAGGGTGTGGAGTGAAAAAGATTTTGCATGAAAGGTAAATGTACATCATGGTGGAGCGAAGAACAGAAAGTGTAAGTATTGCAAAAGAAAACAGCGTGGAAGGGATACTGTCAGGACAAAACTCCAGAGAAATGGCAAGCATACGTGTTGGCCCGAAACAAGACAAAAGAAGCAGTAAGAGTGGCAAAACAAAAATCGTGGGAAGAATTTGGAAGAAAGTTGGATCAGGATCATCAGTATTTTCTGGAAAAAAATTAAAGCTCAAAGAGGACATAAAAGCAAAGCAGTGAGAAACATGAAGAGTGAAGAAGGGAAAGTGGTTACGGAAGACAGAGCAATCTTAGAGGTCTGGAGACATCGTTACATGAATCAGTTTACTATTGATGATCACCATTCAACCAATGGAAATGGAAACTGGAGTGAGGAAGAGTACGACGAGGTGATTGAGGAAGAAGAAATAGAGAGAGTCATATACAAAATGAAAACAGGAAAGGTTCCAGGACAGGATGGTGTAGTAGCTAAATTAATAAAGGATGGCGGCCCTAAGCTGGTGCGAGCATTGCAAGTCTTTTTAAAGAAAGCCTGGGACGGAAAAAGGATTCCAACGGATTGGGATGACATAATGACATTTTTTGAGGTACCTTTAATGAACAATTATATTTTGTAATGAATATAATTAAAATCCATCACCAATTAGCTTTAAATGATGTGCAGTTAGAAAGTTGTTCAGGCATACTATTTAAAAATCCTCTTAAAAGGCTTAATATTTCAAGACCTCCACTTAAGTTAGTGTGTTGCTCATCCCTGTTTTAACTTAACAGACAGCAGTATAAGAAGCTGATACATACCAACTGCACCCATTCTGAGGTAGAAACTTCCATAGTGCTGAAAAGGAACCTCCACAATTTTCCAGGTTCTGCTAGTTGAATCTCGCTCAGTCATATAGCTATGGTTAGTACCACGTCCACTTTCACACTCATCACTTTCACTCGATGATAATGCTTCCCTGGGTGGCCGATCTGTCACCAATAAAAGCAGTTAATTTTCATAATATTATTGCTATGCCTACAATAGTAATAGAATATAACATATTTAAAGAAGATTTAAAATAAGTACTTAGCTTTAAAATAGTGTATTATAAAAGTAGGATGTGGAAACTTGGAACACAATTTTTTTTTGCTTCTAAACTACCAAAGCATTGGAATCTTTAGGTCTCGAGTTCCTTCTGAGGATGAGATAGAGGATGCAATGAATAAATTAAAGAATAAAAAGGCTCCTGGATTTGGTTGTCTACCATCCAATTTATCAAGGTGGCAACGGACTGCATTAAGCATTGCAAGATCTTATACTTACAGTATAGATGATGAAATTGATGCTATATGGTTGGACGAAGTCATTATTATTTCTAGTCTACCGAAAATGGTAACAGGCTTAAATGTAGCAATTATTGGAGCAAATTTTACTTAAAGTGAAAATGCAATAAATATAATCTCATAAATATCTCTGTTACCATTGATTTTATTTTAAAAAATGTACAGGATCATTTTTATATATATTTTAAAACACTTTAATGTTGTACTGGACAAGAACAATCTTTGCAAAAAGCCTCATAGTTTTTGAGATATTCTCAAAAAACTAAAAAAATACGTTTTCAGTATTTTCCCCGCTCCCTCCATCAAAACCCGATCTAGGGTAGTTAGGGATAATGAACTATTTCTGATAAGTTTCATCTTTATTTTTTTTATGTTAGGGTCAATCCCTAATTTTACTGGACTAGAACTGTCATGGCACCCGAGCCCTATGTCTTAGGCCCTGATTATAAATTATAAGTCTATTATAAAAATTAATGAATAAGGAACACAATAAAGAACAAAAAAAAAAAATTAAAATTACCATTGGATTCACTCGGTGGTGGTGATTTTTTGGGAGATCCATCTTGTAACAGCATTGCATACATATAAAATAAGAATGCCATGCTACCAAAATAGAGATACAAATAGAAACCCTAGAAAACAAAAATATAAATAGGGAAATATGGGGTAATAATAATGAAATTATATATAAAGTTAAGGTTCTTCCTTAGAACAAACCTCGTAAAATGATGGTGGAACATGGGTTGAAATAACTTCAGCCATTGGAAAAGCAATGCCCATTACTACAAGAAGCTTCCCATACAAAGCAGATAACGTTGTTGCCAAAGCCTGACTAAAAGATAAATGTAACATTTTAAAAATTAGTTTTTAATAACAAATGCTTCATCACAAAGCTAACGTCCAAAAAAAAAATCATAACTACAATCTTTATACAATTTTTAAAAAAATTGCAAAGCATAACCCTAGAGACATATTGTGCCATCCATTTTAGGGAAGGATAACTGATGAGTGAAATAAATGGATAGCAAATAGCTTTGGTTAAAATAAAGAATTCATAAAATTAAGTTTTGAATCTACAACTAAATAGAAACTGACTGTTTTAAATTGTTTTCTATCATTATGAAAATTTGTACTTCAGAATAATTCATCGAATATATCAGAGTAGAGTTGGTAGGTTAATTTGATCGCAACATACTTTGAACCCGGATGTTGTTATTAAGGATGTCATGTGCTTTATAATGTACACCAAAAAATGAATTGCAAAACATGAGTCCAACTTTGTAGCCTACACAGAATGAACCACTTGTGAATATCTAAGCATCTTCGATAGAACATTATCACACCAAAGGAAAAAAGCAATAGTGGGCTGAGATTTTAATACTAATTTCTATACTGTCCAGTACTGCATCATAGAAGAAATTACCACTGCTGCCATGTTCAAAGCATATTTTAATTTAATTAACCCAACGATTTTGCTTAGAAAGATTTGAAGAATAATCCTCAAATAAAAATTTTCATAGCAATAAAAAAATAAATTGTTTTGCTCAAATTTTTACCTTTTGAATTTCAAACACAAATTTATTGATATTCTTAAGTGATTTAAGTGTGTTTACCAATAATACATGCAATAATTTTGTTTTTGAACTGAATTAGGGCAACTTACCTGAACATAGCTATAGTTTGAATACAATATAGAAACAATATGGATCAATTGAATTAGCTAAAGGAGGATAAAATAATTTTTCAAAAAGCAGCCGATATAAAAAATGTTAATCAGAGATTATTTATCACTATCTTTTCTCCTTTATGTAGACATAAAATCTCAAAGTTATTGGGGAAATAATTTAGCTTTCTAGTGGTTATAGTAGCTCTTTACGGCTACCTATAGGTTACCACCATAAGCTTAAAAAGGGTGGAAATGTCAAGATACACTTCTTGAGACCACTGAGAACTAAATACTAACTAAACCAGGTGAGAATTGGATCCAAAACCTCTGAACAAAGCACTCTGAAATCTCACCCCAACGTTCTAATCAATCCACCATGTCCTCAAAAATTGAATAAAAAAAAGGTTATTATCAGGTTGGTAATATCAACTTATCTTAAACACATAATTAAAATATTGAACAGAATTAAGTTCACCCGTATAATCGGATAATATTAATACATTGACTAACCAATTTCAAACCACATTACTTGGTCAACAATTGAATTTGGAAAAACTCTACGGCATTATGAATACTTTGATAAATGACAGATAATAGGGGGGAAAATATTAAAAATAAAATAAAAAAATTATATGTTTTATGATTTACAAATTATGTATTTGCTTTCTATGAAAATTTGTAATTAATGGTTCCAAAAGATGTTAAAACTAATCTGACTTGGTTTTACATCAAATAAGTTTGCTTGGGCTAGTTTGTAGGTGTCTTTTGTTATTTGTAATTCCTTATTCATTTAAACTCATTCAATTACATTGGCAATAAGTTATTCTTAGTATACACAAAAGAACATTAAAAAAAAAATTATTGGTGAATAATAAACTTGAAGTCAATGCAAAGCAAAGTTAAAAAACAACAAAACGTTGAATGTAGATGAATTCTTGTGTTTCTTATATTCAAAAGAAACCATAAAAACATGTTTAATATATTTATGAAACAAAAGTTTAAATGAAATCGATCATAAGCCTCCTTATTTAAATTTTTTTTAACATATAAGTGAGAAAATCTGATTAATTTTAGCAAAGATGACTGAAAAATATTTGTATGATGTTGTCAAAATGGTTGAAATACCATTAGATAAAGCTCATAAATTAACAACAAGTAATCTAATTAAAAATAAATATTTTCATTCAAGATTTAAATCTAAATAATCTTAAGAAATATTTATATATATCACTATATCATGCCTACAATGTTATCAACAATTGAAATGATCTTTTGAAGATTAAATTTTCTATGGAGAAATACTAACCAGTCATATCAATTCAAACTAATGATTCACAGGAAATACTAATAAATCAATCAGGATATTCTACAGTTACCATTACTCTCCCTTTTGATAACAAGACATGATAAAAATAATTAAAATTCTCAAAGAAAACTTTTAAGACCTGGTGGACTTGAGAAATATTTTGATTGGTTTAGTTATATTAGACGAACTATTTCAACTTTTTTGAAAAAAAAATATTGTTTAATGATATTTTAAAGATAAAATCTAACAGGTACACATTTTAATATTTTTTTATTAATAATAATAAACTTTAATTTCATCCTAATGCCTCAACTTCCTTTATTTTCATCTCCAACATTTTACATTATTAGGCTATTATTAATAAGAAACTTTTAAAATAACATATACAATTATTTTATTATTATTATCTTGTTAAAGTGGATTAGATTAAGAAAAGTGACTGAAATAATTATAGTTTTTATATAAGAAATTTTAATTACAAATGGTGACACAAATTAATTAAATAAACATACAAACTGAATCAATAAACATGACCTAATAGGAATGATTAAATAATTAGGTACCTATCGTTTGTTTATTTAAAAAAATCATCAAGTAAAATTTTAGAATAATAGTAAATAGTAAATTAGTGAATAATATATATAGTGAATTATCTCTTTGTGATATTCAAACAGTATCCATTTACAATTAGTGTTACAACTTTTGACCTATGTATGACAGACAATGCAAATTTTGTAATTTCATTTTTATAAACTTTGCAATGGAAAAAAATCTGGTGTGTCCACTCACACGACTTTCCTATCTATTTCAGGAAAGTTTTTATATCTATACATATGTTCATGAAGAAACAAAAAAGAATTGAACTACATTTATTTTCCTGAAAATTGATCAAACAAAAGATTTGAGTACAACTTATTAGATAAACTAAGGCAATGAAACCGGCTTAAGGTAGATCAGTGTAAAAATTTTGATACCCCCTAATACTTTTTTAATACTTTTTGCTATAGCTTAGTATTGTCAAACAATAATTTCTGTTAAAAGTAGTGGAAATAGTGAAGATTGTGTGATGCGGGCTACAGTAAATTCGTAATCTTTCATTGGAAATTGAATAGCTGTAACTTCATAAATAGTTGTCCAAAATGAACGATTTTTATATGGCTTTGTAGGGAATTTCATTACCTTTCAAGGCCTATAGGTCGAAAAACGCATGTCGTAAATTTGACCCGATTGCAATACTTTCCTTACCTAGTATAGGTAGGAAAGTAATAAGTTAAAAAAATGTGTAAAAAATAGAATAAGCTGTATCATCGCTAATACTGGTTCGATTCCGTTGATTGCTTTTTGTTTTGTTGGTAATTTAATTACCTTTCAAAAGTTTTATTATAAATTTTACCGTATAATATATACTTAGCGAGTTAGGCCCATAAAATTTTTCTTTTCTTTATAACTTTTTTTTCGGGAATTTAGTACATATACAAAAATTGAAAGGACAATGATTAGAACATTATAGGAAAGTTCAATCAAAATCGTTAGAGCCGTTTTTGCACTACAGTCTATAGAAAAATCTGTTTTTCATTTATTGCACGCAAGCTATTGCGCATGTAACTCCGAATTTCTGTCACAGGCATCGGTAGTCAAAATCCTACAAAATAAAAAAAGAAGCAAAGAAATAGGTTCAGTAGTTCCCGAGAAAATCTTGGCACAGACAGATAGACAGACAGACCAATGGCTAAAAATGTGTTTTTCGGACTCAGGGGGCTGTGAAACATATAGATCCGTCGAAAACCGCATGTCGGAAATTTGACCTGATTACAATACTTTCCTTACCTAGTATAGGTAGGAAAGTAAAAACAGTTTAATAATTAATAGTCGAACAATACATTATCAACAGATTGTACAATCCATAATCAACCATCGATACAATAAATAAGATTTTTGTTTTTTAATCGTATTAATGATTTGTTAACTGTAAGCTTTAAGCTGTAGCTCGGTTAAAAATGCACTTCAAAAGTTTTATAATACCCCAACATTGCCAGAAAATAACTCATACTTAGGTAGAGCGGTAAGTGAAAGTTGTGTGTTGCATGCACCAGATTTTTTTTCTCAACCTACATATCTACAGCTGATAGAATAGAAAATAAAGCTTCTGATAGAGTCATGCTGTTGAACAAAACCTAGGAAAAGAGTAAGGAGTGTCTTTGTATTTTACCACTGATCTACCACATTCCCTTTTATAAAATTAAAAATTAATAGTTTACTACAACTTAAAAATTACAAACCATAAATTTTGTTAAACCTATGATAATTAAAGGTTTATAAACTAAACAACATATAATGCAAATAAGCAAAAATTCTTGTTTAAATTCCATGTCAGCTTCTACAGAGAAAAATATGAAATAAAAAATACATTTGAATAACTTTATTTGGGTCAGCACTAACTGGTTAAATGTGACGAAATTCTTAATATTGACTAAATAGTAAATAATTATTTAAATAAAACTGTTAGTGATCCATGATTCTTAATGACTTCTTTAAAAATAAAAAATGCATTAGGTTAAACAAAAGCAAGTACACATTTTTCAGTTAAATTCACTTTTATCTTTTTCAAGAGAATATAGAGCCACATTAATCGCCTAATTTCAAGGCTTGTGCCCACACCTCCCAATTTCAATTGGCAATGCAAATTGCTCCAGGACTAGTTGAATAATAATAAACCATGAAATTATTCTTAAGCCAATTGTACTTCTTAGAAATTGAAAATTCAATATTGAAAAAAAAATTTAATTATGTAATGAGAATCACAGTTAATACATTTATTACTAATTTGTTTTTTATTACTTTTGATATTTTTGTGTTATTATACTTAATCTTTTATTTATTTTTATTGCTAGAATCTAAATTATTATATACCTCCTTTAATGACTTAATTTATGTTTATCATTTATTTTTTTCTTTATTTACTTCTCTCTTTGTATAGTACACAAATCCGTACCTCTTGTATCTCCAATTTAATTTTATCCCTGATGAAGACCTACAAGTTTGGTACAAAACCACCGGATTTTGGAATAAAGTAATAAGAAGTGACAATATAAAATAAAACAAATAAATTACATAAAGATAAATTACAATAGAAAAAATAAATAAATAAAAGATAATATAAGCTCTGAATAAAAGAAAGCTTAAAAAAGGCTTAAGCAATTCAGTATTCCCTTCACCTTTTTTATTGGCTTTAGTTTTAATGTGATATTTATAAACATTTACTATTCTTTTGAGAGCAGTATATAATTTTATAACACAGAAGAAAATGTCTAGACTTTTAAAATTACTAACTAAAGTAACATAATATGATTATAGTAATAGTATATTTTTATACTTCAATTATCATGAAAAAATTAATAAAACAAACCAGTTAATATAATATTATAGTCAGATCTCTATAAGTTGCCATCATTATCTGAGGTAATAATAGTCATAAAAATCAATGTAGTTATTCATTCACTTGATTTTATATAAGTATAATTTGAAAAATGATGCTTAAAATGTATTTCTCCAATTATTTTTTATATACAATTAAAATTGTGAAGATAAATAACCTAGTGAAATGAAGAGAACTATTATTGAAATCTAAATTGTTGGTTTCACGTTTATCTTAATTTTTGTTGAGCTATTTAATTAAAATGAAATCTTTTCAACTTCAGAAGCTATTAAAAATCATCGTTCTTAGTTATAAATAAGCAATAGTTAGTGTCTTAGAATAAATCACATCAGATTTTTAACTTCTTATATAAAGCAGAATTGTTAATCAGAACTAGACAGAAACGGATTCTGGATCATAGAAGGTCTAGGTCAAACAGAATCTTTTGTTATATATATTTTTAACATAACATATTTTGGCAATTTTCCCCCCTCATAAATACCCTTAATCTTTGATTTTCTTTGACTTTTTTTATTTTCAACTTTCAATACTTTACTTTAATGTATATGTAAATCTAAGTTTTTACCTATAAACTGAGATAGGGTTAACAAAACAAGGCATCCTATTGATTAAAATTAAGATTTCATTTATTGTTAAGTTTCACGAAACTAAGTGTGATATATTTATGTAATGAAAAATTAAAAATTAAAAAAATAAATAAACATTTTAGCAACCACTGTGCAGAATGGTTGTCGTAGAATTTGCACAATTAGAATGTGGATTAACTAGATGTCTGGATAATCAGAAATCCATATTAGCAGGACCCTACAGTAACCTTAATCAATGCTATATTGAGTGAGAAAATTATGATGTAGTCAAAACTTACGCTCCCATTTTCCTCCAAGTAATTTGGAGAATGTCAATTCGAGATGGACGTTTCATCATAGAAATATTTGGATACAATACAGCAGGCATCAATTGGGATCCTTGTTGAGCAAGCCTATGACCAAATGTTAAAATAAAAACATGGTAAGTTATTTATTTTAAATGATTAGGACAAGTTGAATAGTAGCTCAAAAACATAAATACCCTGAATGTGAAGCTGATAATATATGAGGTCTCGCAGAAGATGTGGTTGCTCGGGAAGTACTCCTTGGAATTCTGACAGGTGAAGAATGGTGAGAAAGAGTTTCTGGACTAACTATTACAGCTGAAGGACTTGCGGGGGATGGAAGAAGAACAGTGTCACCTGGTGTTTGTGTCCAACTATCAAAGAAATTTTAACCAGGTTATTTGCTAAACATGATTGCATAACATGTACGATCTAGACCTTGACAGTTTAGTATAAATAACATAATAAATTTGCCAATAAAGATATCTAATTAATATTTACAATAAATTAGCCACAGGAACTTTTCAAAACAAACATGAATCCCTTTCTTTTATTAATAAATTTATTTTTAGACAAAAATAAAACCAATCATATTGTTTAAACAATTAATCATACCATGAAAGAAAAATATAAACCTTAATTTTTAAATGATTGAACGCCATCATACTTTTTATTTAAAAAACAATATTTTTACATGAATATGTTTTATTACAGTCTGCCAAAGATTATTTTTAGGAAAAAAAACAAATACTTATTATAGGGTATATAATTAAGCATTGCATGAATAATAATAATGTAAATTATTTACATTACTATTACCAGTATCAAATTTTTACAAAACATGAATAATTTAATTATTTAACCAAAAGAGCCAAATGCTTTTCTCTTTTAAAAACCTATAAGAAAAAAAAGAATAAAATAAGTTGAAAATAGATTAGGTTAAGGTAGTTTTATGAGCTTCCGATGTGGGGGAGCTTTACTGTTTCAGAGGGGGGATTTTTATAGCCTTCTGCTTTTGCTCCCTCAGCTCCAAAACTTATACTAACATCAAAGGCCTTGCAACTAAATTCTGGGAGAAGCCTTAAATTAGAGCTCAAGACAAAAGTTTTAAATAGTTAATAAAGTTACAATATACAATTTTAATCATTATCTTTATTCAAGGAATAGATTTTGCTTATTATATAAATAAAATTATATTTTTAAATAAATTAACCCTTTTAGTTTTTATATTTGATTTATTAAAGTAAATAAATTATTAAAAGTTATGATTTCTGATCAAGACAAGAATACAACAACATTTCAAAACAATACAATCCAATCTTAAAAAAAAAAAAAATTAAGAATCCAACAATCAAAAAAAAAATAATTCTACAAATAATAAAATTATAATAAAATAAATCAATAATAATAATTCATTCATTAATGATAATAAATTTAAAACAATAAAATCATCCTTGTGAATTTAATTTCGTAATGAATCTTAAAACTCTACACAATCAAATTAAAAATTGTTCAGCGCTGATAAAGTCAGAAATTGTTAGTATTATAAAATTAGCATGCTGAAGCTTTCATATGAAAGATCAAGCACTGAATTAAGAATAGAAACAACAATTAGCAAAGTTGTATTAAAGGAAGTAGCATATCAAAAATATTAGATGATGGTAGGTAGCGGTGGGAAGACAAGGGCATTTCAATTTGATAACTACACACAAGTGATATGCAAATTAAGCATCAGCTTCAATGTTAAGCTATGTTAATTTACAAATCACACATTAATATTACCGCACTTACGTTTTGTAAGTAAGTTCCTCGATCAGCATTTTATGACAAGAGTTGTAAAATAAACGGCACAAAATTTATTTTGACTTAATAATTATACTTCACTACACTGCAGTGCACCTGCTTTGTTTTCTGTTGGCTTAAATTTAATTTCATATTATAAAACACATGACACTGCAAACATGGCCAGATACAACTCAATAGAGTCCGTAAAGCCCCCTCTCTTCAATCAAAGTAAATTGCACCAATTTCCTAAGGAGGTAATCATGATGATACATCATACTGCACTAATAAATTGTTCAATCGAAATTGGTAAATAAAATTAATATAAAATATTTCAAAACATTCTGTTAATAAATATTTCTATGGTTGGAGGCAGCTAATTTCATAACATCTAGAAAATGAAAAATGAATTCATTGAACAAAGATTTGTTTTTATCCTTAGAAAATTAATTAATTCTTAATGATTTTGTAATTTAAATAATTTTAACAAAGCAGAATAGAATCATGAAAAATTAAAACGAAAATATATCAATTACATGTTCTAATAGGTGTTAATGCATAACATTAAAGAGAGAACAACAAAAGAATAAGAAAAGATTATATTCGTAAACAAATTCGGTTGTAATATTACTTTTGTCTCATTATTAAACATAAAAAGTAAATCAACAAGTTTATTTAAGTGGCAATTAAAAAATAAAATAGGCAATATGAAAATGAAGAATTTTATAAGCAAATAAAAAAATTTATATGTAAACAATATTATTATTATTATAACAGTTTTTTACATCTCATGTAGTTTCTAGATTTTTGTTTTATACTACTTTCAAAACCACCAATAACTACCACTGATTGAATGGGAGAGGTTTAAATTATTATTAATAAGCCAATAATCATGTAATAATAAATTATTAATATAATTAATTGCATTATAATTACTTTAAAAAATATGAAAAATAGATAGTATCATTTTAAATTAAGAACAATTTATTTTTCTCTAGCAGCTAAGCTGATTCTGTTTATAGTTCTAAATTTAGACCCTAAAAAAGAAATGGTGTAAACAGTTTTAAAACTTCTTAAATAGTTTCTGAAACTTCAAACAAGAAACAATAATTTAATTATATTTGTAGTGGGTCAATCGTCTTTTTTTTTTTTTTTTTTTTATAGAATATATAACATTTCTCGGTGTAAGACACAAAATTCTATAAACTTCTTCATTGATTGGCATATACATTATATTTACAAATTATTAAATATATACTAAAGTTGAGAAATAGATTTGAAAGTTTAGTATTAATTTAATTAACATGAAATTCTAAAGGACGAGTTATAATTATATTTATTGTTGGTAAAAAGAAATGAATAAATGAACCCAGTTAACTACCACAACTCATAATCATTGGAGTGTAAGGTCATAGTAATATATTTTAATATACTGATAAATGTAGGTATATATTTTTTTATGGAGTTAGAATAAATTATAATACTAGATTTTACCATATCGTGTCATCCTTAACAGTAGGTGCTGTTGGCGTAGAAGCATCATCAGTGATGTCATGGGGAACATATCCCGAAGTGGTTGCAGTAACTTCTTCTATATCGGAATCTATGCCCTGGGCAAAATCCATATAGAAGCTGTCTCTGGAATCACTAGAACCTCGCCTCAACTTGAGGCTGAGGTCTGGCGAGCTGTCCTGCATCACAGGCGGTTTTAGTTGTTTGGATGCCTTCTTTTTAGAACGACCCTTGTCAGTTGCTTCGGAAAAAAATAAATTACTGTGGATACAATATAACTTAGAAATTTTTTTATAAATTATATATATATTATAATTATTAATAAGCCAATAATCATGTAATAAGCATCATCAATAAGCATCATCTTATATATATATATATATATATATATATATATATGGCTAAATTTGAAAATTGAATTAGTTTATTTTACTTATAGACAATTATTTATAAATTCAAAGAAAATTTATACCTATAATCACTTAAAATTTATTTATAAAAACTTACACATTAATAGCTAAAATTCAACAACTTGACCAAGTAGAAAAATCCAACACCTGAATCCCAGGTAAATAAAAGTCAGAACTTCACATTTTGGTGGAAACAAGAGGAGTAACTGTACACACTAGGGAGACGGAATTATTTATCGTCTTGTAAACATCCATCGGGGAGGACAACACTAAAATTAAACGCGAACATAACAGAAGACTGCGTGCGACTAAGGGTTTGTGAGTAAAGAAATAGACAGCTAGTCTAGAGGGTTTGTGGTAGGGGAGGTTTTTGATAACCGGATACGACTCAGGAATATCTAATCAGTTATAGGGTTGGAGTGGGGGGAGCAGGGCGCGGCTATAGTACAGCCATCTAGCGGCCGAGTCAAAAACAGTACCCAGTAACAGGTTACTTTGGAACAAGTAAAACTTAACGTTACAGGATGACAATGACATAACTTTATCTACGTCATGCTTATGAGTAAATTGGCAAACGAAACCAGAACTTCTTACGTAGACTATGTCTATCCATAAACTACATTTACAGCTCATGCGTCTCTTAGGAATATGTTAATACAAATTATCTGTACAAAAAAATTTGTATTATTACTTATTTTAATTAGGGAGTAATTATTAGAGATTCTGGAATGTGGAAAATTAATTTCAATCTTATTTTTCACATGTCATTACGCTTCTGAAGCTGGGCCATACCCAATTGATTTGTTAGCATAGCCGCCGATACTTAAGAAATATTGATGGTTGGGCCAAAGATAGCAGTTCCGGTCTTACAATTAGACATTTGGCGCCTCCGTGCAATGAAGTCATTATTTCCTCCCAAAAATGAAGTTTATTTCTTCAACTGTTATATATTACGCAATATTTGAAAAGTATTTCATTTAATATATCTCAAATTCAGTTGCTTTATTAATAGCCTAAAATTAATTATTCTCAAACGCTTTGTAATTGCTTTTTAATTTTTTAAGAAGTGCCGGACATATGCTTCACTTCACTTCCATGTATTATTTTAATTACGTAATTTATTAAAATTTAAGAAAGTATAGTTCTATAATGTATGGTGTAGAATGATTGACATATATTTATCGTAAATTCCTGATATCATATATATGTACATAACTTAACTTAATCCATCCTCGTCCACCTACCTCTACGCAGTGTGAGGTTATGTATATGTATATAGTGACCAGATAAAGTTTTCGTAAAAAGGCAAGAAATAAAAAAAATCAATAAAAAAAATTCGTTCATATATTTCTTTTTTATTTAAACAATTAAATATAACTTCATTATCACTCTTATCAATTTTCTAAAAATATTTGCCTAGCAATAAATGCACATATTTTTAAAACAAATTTAAGTATAAAATATTATTTTTACTGCAGCAAAATTTTTCATACATAAATATATTAAACAGTATTTATATATTTGTTCCACTCAAATTTTTAAATCAATATTTTTAATGCAGTACTTTATTTTTGAATACCGTTTAGGCATTGGTTTGGTCAATTTTGAAGTTATTTGGAAGGGTATTTTCCCTCATTCATCAAACAATTTAGTTTTAAAATATATACCGAAGATATATTTTGATTTTTAAACTGGGGATCAATATGAACCTATAAAATTTCGATAGAATTTAAATTTGGCCTCTGGAATGTAGTTTCATGTTCATTTGGAGAGTTTGAAGCTAATTGCTATTATCTGGGTAAATTTTAATGTTCATCTATGCTCGTTCTATACTAGCCATAACAAACTATGAAAAGAACGGCAGAAATAATAGAGAACAGCTAGGATAACGATTTGGACCAGATACAATTCGGAGAATATTAAAACAATGCGGATTACTATGCTCGCTAACTAAGCTATGCTCGCTATTTAAAAAAAAATCATAAATTATTCAACAAAAATTCTTACAATACATTGTTGCAAAAGCTTTTATTTCTTTTTTTGCCATGTTTTGGGTGGACTATGGACAAACGTAATTGCTTTAATATATTTTTTATTTCCAAAAAAAAATGTTAAAAGATATTTCGAATATTTTTCATTTAAAATAGTTGTAAAACTGTGTTTTCAACCAAATATTCCAAATAGCGTATTAGCCTATTCATGATAATAATTGAAGCAATGAGCAGGTTTCATTAGTTTAAACGTAAATTTTAGGGCTAGAAACATTTATTTCACCACTTATAAACGCGGATCGATTCCTGTAATAAAGATCAAAGTAAAAACACAGCTTCATAAACACTCTACATGAAAAATCATTATTTTAAACATTATTTTGTTTAGAAATAAAAAGTGTATTTAGGCAATTATATTAAACATAATTCATCCCAATTCATGGAAAAACGAGAAATAAAAACTTTTGCAACAATTTTTCTAGTTATTTTTGTTTAAAACACTGGTAATTTTAGGTAATAGGATATGAAATCCCATAATTTTTTTTCCACAACTTGAAATGACTGTTTATGATAATATTTGCAGGCCGCTGTATATACATTAAAAATTCAACTTAACCATAAACAAGATGAAATAATAATGGAAAGAAAGTATTCAGAGATTTGTGATAACGTTAATGCTATCTAATCATGGATCATTAACAAGAGACTCTTTATTTAGAGTCACTCCATTCAGCTTTAACATACAGATGGCGCCTACAAGATAATAATATAAAGTTAATATTTCAGTTCAATTCATTTTGAACCAACATATCATATACAAATATATATGATATTTTAGCAACTGTTGTTTATATAATTTAGATATATACATAAATCAAATAACAAACCTTTTAATTAATTCGAATACATTAATTAGAATGATATTAAAAAACTCTTCAGATCCTGAAATATCTCAGAAAAACAATCATTCAAATAAATGAGTATTTCAAACTTCCAAATTTATTAATTTTAGACCAAATTTATTAATTTGAGTAAATTATATCTATGTAATGATTTTTAACCTAAAGCAGAAGAAATTAAAGTTAACTAGAATTAGTAACTTAGTATATAATAATATTTTTTTTTTATTTATTTTTTTTTTTTATTTCTTTGTGACATTTACAACTGTATTACATAAATACATCAAGTAAATTTGAACATAATTGATATAATGACATGAATACACTTGCTGAGTAACTACCCAATGGTAGCACTCTAAGTATATAATAATAGAATAGTATTTTTGCAAAAAAAAAAAAAATTGAAGTAGTTACTTTTGATTTTCTATTCTTCTTAAAATCAAATTTATCCATTAATTTAAATAGTTTTTTTAATGGCTTAATAAATATTGATTTGAACTGAAGCCATACCCAGTAGCAGATTCACGATTGATGAGAGAAACAATATAAAATGAAATACAAAATATAATTTTTAGAAAATTCGGGTAATAAAAGGAGTGTAACATATTCATATGGATGCTTCAAAAGTATACAAGGAAGTAGGATGGTCGATTTTAAATTCTAATATCCAAAAGTTATTTAAACTTTAGAGATGAGTAAGCAATAGAATGTTATTTAAACTTCCGGAGGCTTAATTAGTTGTATTGGTGAAATGGTAGCGATTAGAGAAACTTTTAAGTAGACAACTGAAACTAACAATTGGGCCCTACTGGCGGATTCGATAAAAACATTACCAGCCATTGAAAATATTTCCGCCATGAGTCTTTTGGCTGCTTTGGTGCTGTTATTGGCGACAGCTGTGATCGTTTGGCGATATCCAGTGGCACGTGGTTTTCAATATGCAGGTCAAATTTGTACTAATTCTTGAATATTAATTTTGAATCACAACCGAAAGCACGGACTTTAGGTAATTAGATCCGAAGTTTTGGGCAATTATGAAGTATCTATGAAGTAATCACTTTATAATTACATTAAAAAATATAGTGTAATCATAAAGTATTAGTCAAAATCAATAACAATTAATTTACAAGAATATATGAAATATGCAAATTAAAATTAATCAATTAATACTATAAGCAGACTAGATGGCTAAACTAAGATCTGTAAATAGGTGCGCAAGTATTTTCCCGCGCCTTATTATCCTATTATTGAAATTTCAGTTTATATTAAAAAATAATTGTATATAGCAACATTCCTAGAATTTTATGATTCATTCATTTGCTTCATTCCATTTCTCAATTGAGAATCTCACTGCCTCAAACCTTTCAATAAAAACTAAAATATATAATATATTCAGTTACTTGGTTAAGATAGTTTCAAATACACCCATATGAAAAAAAAAAAATACATTTAATTTTATATATATTAATATATTGTTCGTTTTACAATAATTATATTGATTACGTTAATTATCACTCACAATTTTTATACATAATATAAACTCCCTATATTTTTTGTTTGGGATAGGGTGAAAGAGAAGGTGGAGGAGGGGGTACACCGCCCCTTCTCAACCTGAATGGAAAGTCTGCGCTTATGATCATAATGTATTATGTATTATCACAATATATGTACATACTAACAGGGGATAAAGGCGGTGTGGCCGAACGGCTAACGCGTGTGCACAGCACCACCGTTGCCCGGCAACCTGATATATATGATAAATTGTTAACAAAAAATATGTCACGAGTACGCGTCTCGGTACCAGGGGAGTCTTTTAAATCCCAGCCCTCACCCTCTGGCCTTGCAAAAACCCCGTATAGACTTAAAGTCAAGGAAGGGGAGGATCCCCAAAAAAATAAAATAAAATAAATACTATCAGGAAGAGGTTATTCACGTTGGATT